TCTGAACTCTTAATACCCTCCATCTGGGAACCCAGTATCAAGAAATTAGACACTTACCTAAGAACAAGACTCTGTTCCTGGTACTGGAAAATTAGCCAGATGATCAAATATTTTATTTTCCTTGAGACTTAGTTCCCATATCTAAGTAGTTAAGGGAGAAAAGCAATTCTTTCTTTTTTAATTTTAAGAACACTAGGTATTCGAATGTAGTGCTGGAACCACAGTCTTACACAGCTCTCAAGCGATTCTATTTAGATCAATCATTCCATAATTGTATATTGATCACCTGAAATCTCTAGACATTCCTTAAATGCTTTGATGTCCCCAACTTCCAATGTAAAATTCTTCATGATCCACTCCAACCTCTTTAACCTCTTTTTTTTTAATAGAGAAACATACTTTATAGCACTCATTTCTTCTAGCTTGTAGTTTTCTTACTGAAATAAGTTAATTAATTGCCTGCCTCCCCTCACTAAAATATAAATTCTAAAAGGACAGAAATGTGCCCTTCATTGCCGTATTCCTAGAACTTAGAATAGTATAAAAAACCTAGTCAGTGCTCAATAAATATCTCTTGAATGAATGAATAAATAAATATTTTCTCACACTTTAATATCTGGTGAGAGTTGGGATCTCTTTATTTTACACTTGAAATTGAAGCTTGAAGAAGTTAGAGGATTTATTCAAAATTACCCAGCTAGTAAAACACAGAGCCAGCATCTAAGCCCAGGTGGGTCTGAGTTCTAATCAGTTCGTCTTTCTGCATTCACCTGTTTGTGCTACCATTCGCACATTTTTTGCACATGAACCTTAACAGTGTATTCGTCCCTGCTGTGACCTGCTGTTTTGTAACAGTCTGGGATTGAGCACTGCATTTCCAGGAAATAATGAACACTTTGATTCTGGTCCATCCCACTTCAAGGTTGGAGAGTCGAAGGTAGCAGAGGATGGGGGACAGGGAAAACAGAGGAGGGGGGCTTAGAGGGGAAGAAGCATGCATTTTCTAAGGCGTATATAAGCAAATATTTGCAGAAATATGTTAAGTCTCCCCTCCCCAAGAGAATCTTTATGAGACTTTTAAACCTGTCCCCCTGCCCACTCACTCTCTTTGTCTTGGTAAGCCATTGCTCATGCTAAGGTTACACAAACTTCACCAAGCGAGTGGAAATGCTTGACTCAGTTCCCTGATTTGCTTTGGTGTGATGTTTCTGGTAAGCAGTGGGGTTTTTTTCTCTCCTGGTCTGTTATATGCCTATTTACATAGCAGTTGTCTATTTCAAGGCCCTGAAAAAAAGTCTTTCAGAAGAGGCTAGCAGGCTGTGTGGATAAAGTCTCAGAAATGTCCTCTGCATATCTGCAGTGTGGAGTGGGGCTGGGCTTAGAAGTGATTTCAGAAGCTCTTTCTTCTGGCTCTTGTACACACTGTAGCTCAGAATGAAATAAGAGTGCTATCACCTTGGCCTGAGGTAGCTGGAGAACAAGATACTCCGTAAGAGAAAAATGGTAAATAACTGTAGTTTATCCTTGGCACTGCAATTTTTGTTTATTTATTTTAGCATCAAGAAAATTGATTCAACTTAATTTGATTTTTTTAAAAAACTTATTCAACTTTTTTGGAGGGTAGAATATTTAAAGCATGTTCATTTTGATACCTAAGATTGACACTACAGAGCCACCAGGAATGTAGCTCAGTGGCACTGCCCCTGCCTGGCAAGTGCAAGGTCCTGAGTTCAATCCTAGGTACCCCCCCCAAAAAAAAGATTGACACGACAGATACAGAGTTGGAAAGTAAGTGCAGATACTTAAAATGGGGTTCTGAGCCCTTCCCCCCTTAATCATAATGAGAAGGGTTCATGTTGCTTAGTGAGCTTCTGCATGCTTTCTGTTAGCAATTTGTTTTGCACTGAGTGGCCTCAAACAACTTAGTTTATTGAGTTTATTTGGGTTTTTAAATCTTTTTTCTGGCATCTCTCTTGCTAGGAGTTGTCAGTGATTGTTTCTAGATCCTCCCAGGAGCCTTTCTGTTAGCAGTAAGACTCTGTGTCACCTTTAGCATTCCTCTTCTGTCCCCCACCTCTGATTTTTATTTACTGTTTCTGCTCTTACCATGAGCAGAAATAAGTAACCAAGTCTCTAAAAGTTAAATTAATAGAGAGGTTGTGGGATATTTTTCAATAAAATACTACACAGTATTTTTAGATGGTAACGAAATTGATTCTAACTGCTGTGCTTGAAAATCAATTCTATTTGTGTACACACGTCTTATCCTGGACTTTTTAGTGATGAATTCTTATTTATTTCCATGTTCCTAGCAATGTGTAGATGACTGTGAGCATTTCTTTTCACATTTCATTTCTCTATAGATGTAAAAATTAAAATTTTTGTATTCTTTCCTTTCCAAATCAAAGCCTATTTTATGTGTACATTTTATTTTACTTAGAATAATTTATATGTAAATTAACAATACTTTATTTGAGGTGACAAATTATGCCTTCAAATTATGTGAAATCTGTATCATATAATCTCATTTATTTGAATACCAGAAAATTAGTGAAAAGCAACATGTAAGTTGGTGGAAAGCATGATATTTTTTCCCCTGAGTATGAGACAGCAGTGCTAAAATCTTGATATGTGCCTACCACATTGTTTTCCTTTATTAAGTGTCATTATTATATTGAGTAATATTTGTTAGCCAAGGAAGTATGGCCAGAGTTTGGAACTTGTGTGAATGGTGAAAAAAGACTAATTTATAATGAGCACATAATTATAGAGTATATATCTATTCTAAGATTTTATAATTCTGAGAATCTTTGCCTTCTTTCTCTTTGTCCACCTTTTCTACTCTTGGCTAATGGAATCCCTATTTATGAGTCAGATTTATTGTGCTGTGGGAATGGGGATTGTAAAACAAAATTGTCCTCTTCCATCAAATGAATTGTATCAGAGTCCTGCCTTCTAAATACTTCCAATTTATGGGTCCTTATGTCTCCTCGCCCTTTCAGTCCTTAGCAGGAAGAAGACAGAGATACTGGAAGAAAAGACCAGAAAACTATCTAGAGCATGCTGCATCTTTTATTCTCAAATGATAAAATAAGGATCTCACTCCTTTTCCCAAATTAAAAAACCAAACAAAACTGAGACAGCAAAGATGCCAATGTGATGGTGACTAGGTTGCCATGCTATCTGTCCTCCCTTTCTCTCCCTTTCTCTGTCTCTGGAGACCGTTAAAGGTCTAAGCGATTTCAGGATTGGGTGACAGTGTAGACTCCTTCAACCCTTAAAGGCCACAATTCCACAATTCCTCATTCCTCCCCCACAACTCAGAGGAACTTGTGAGACACATTAAGGACATGTTTCCCCAGAAAATCACCTCCATATGAGGAATCCTGGCATGTGTGTTTTACTGGATGTTTTCAGGGCAGTGTCAGGATTCGTTTTCCATGTTTTCTCTCAGGGCCATTTGGCACATGTTTTCAAGACAATTCTAATTAAGATGATATGCCTAGAAAAGTATATGTTTACCCAGTACCAGGCACTCAGTTACTATTCTCTTTCGGCACAGTGAAAATGAAAATAATGAATTAATAGGGATCCTCACACATCTGGTTTGCTTAAGCCTCCCCTGAGTTCTAGAGGTTAACGGACCCGAGATCTCCCTTGTTGCTTCTTACATCTGTGTTACACACCCATATCACACCTTGCATGGGAAACACAAAAGAACCTGGAATTTTTCCTACACTTTATTATAGCTGTGACACAAATGCACAAGCTCTGCCTTATTAGATAGTCTGGCTCAGAATGTTTGAAATTACTTTATAAACTTGCCTGGTTCATCTTCCCTTTTTATCATCTAGGGCTATATACAAAAGCCAAGCCAAGGGGATGTAGTTGTTCCTGTGAAATAAGTGATATAAACAGTTTCTGACGTATATGTGTTAGTGTAAAACAAATCCCAGTTTAATAGCTTCTTGAGAGAAGGGGACTAAACAATTCACTGCTCGTATAATTTTCCCCAAAATTATTTTGCCATTTCATTTCACTGCATCAACAGACTTTCTACTCCTTCCTCTGCAGTACTTGTGTTGGCCCACTATTGGTCTGGCAGATTGAGCATGGTTTTGTTTCTCTGCAGACATTGCCCAGCCTTGACATCGTTCTCACAAGTACACTTTCCCTTCAGTGTTAGAAAAAGTACACTGTCCCTTTAAATCTAGTAAGTCAGATCCTGCCATTTCTCCCTTACAAGCAGAAGACCAGTGTGCAGGCATCTGGGGTTTTTTTTCCCAGGTTATTTGGCAGTTCGGCCTTGTTTAAACACCATCAGACACCCCCCAACTGAAAGCAATAGTCTTGTGATTGGCACATGGTCCCTCAAAAGATACCCTGCACTGTGTTCCTGCTGCCCTCTCAGGAATGTTCTTTGCCAAGCAGGGAACCCATGCAGTCTTCTTGGGTTCTGGGTTTCAAGCTACACTTGTCCTTTGAGGTCTAAGTTAATTTATAATTGGCAAAAAAAAAAATGTATTGTTTAAAAAGGATAGGATTAGAAAGGGTCATAATAAGGACTTGTAACACTTCTTGGAGCTCAGATATGTCTTACAAAATAAAATGTTTATGAGCTAAGTGTAAATGATTCAGAAACATACGGATCAAATTTCCCCTAAATTGCTAACGGATTTCAAAATTAGCAGAAATGGGGCCTAGCAAAATATGTGTTTTGAATTTCACCAAACCCAGAGTATTTGAAATGCATTTTAAGGAGCCTGACATAACCAAAATGTGTCTAGGTTTTCCTTTGTTGTTGTCTTTTATTCCCTCAATATCTCAATTCAGAACTCAGCAGTTAAAAGAAACAAAGAAGGATCCTGAAATATTTTTTAAAGGTCCTCTTGTTGCACTCATATAGAGCCAGAATGAGGCGTTAAAATCGGCTCTGGAGCATTGTCTTTGCCCCTGCTTGTTTATGCCTCTCATGTTGCCTTTTATTATTGTTTTTTCAGGTTTGTTCCTTCTGCTCCTTCTCCTCACCACATCAGCCCCCAGAGAGTTCCTGCTCCTTCGTCCATACTGCAGAGAACGCAGCCTCCTCACAGCCAGCAGCCATCAGGTCCACACCTGAAGTCTTATCAGCCAGAGACAAACTCTTCTTTTCAGCCAAATGGAATCCACGTCCATGGTGAGCAGGGAACTCGAAGCCCCTTGGGTTTCAAACAATGGTGCTGTTGATTTTAATCAAGTGTCTTTGTTATTACCAGTTGTAGGTGTCAGTTGTTATACATCCTACTTTTAAGCTTTTAGAATTTCCCTTTAAAATTTCACACTTAATAGACATGAAATCCTGTAGTATTTTCCTGGCTTTGGCCCTTTGACTTAGAAACATCCTCGCTGGTCAGCTCCAGGTCATGATCAGATCGTGGACCTGGTGCTCTGACACCTCAAGGATAGACCTCAGCAACACGGTCCCATTCCTAAACAATCAACAACCCATGTGACAGACCACTGGAGTTCTTGTGTCCACGTGTGCCTCCTACCCTGGGTCTTTGTCCCCATTCTCATAAGCCAGATCCTGTCATTATTCAAGGCTGAGATGAAATGTTACCCCCTCCCTGAAGCTGTCCCTGGTCCCACAGCCAGTGTCTTCTCTTCTCACTCTGAACTCTGTTTACATCTCAACCTGTATTTTGCTCTGTGTACTTTGTCATTTATCTGTGAATAAATGTATCTTCCGTATTAGTGGATACAGTTCCTTCTGAGATCAGAATTCTCTTAGGGAACTTAACACAGTTCTTCACATACCGTAGCAAAGATGCAGATTCTTGTTAGGTACATAGAGGAAGAAAAGGAGATAACGAACTATAAGAAATCACAATAGTTTTTAAAATGTGCCTATCTTGTTTTTAATAAGCAACATTCTTGGAGAACTAAGACTGTCTTGCTTCTTTTCTTTACTTAAACTAATTCAGGTACATATCATACTAGAATTCCACAGGAAGTTGAAATGCCAAGTCCTACAGACTCAAACTATGAAAGCCTTTTGCTTCCTGGGGTGGTTGAATCTTCTGTACAAGCAGAAGGGCTACGGTCTACTTAGACTGAGCATTTCAGCTCCTTCTGAAAAATACGGCTTCTCTATCTGCCTCTTGCCAATTCCTGAATTCTCTATGAGTTATTATTTGAAATTAATGAGTGGTGTTTAGTGTTGATAATTTCCCAAGATGGCAAAATTAAGCAATATTGCAGAGCTAGACTTGGATAAGAGACTGAAAGGAGAGGCCTGAGCAGCAAAGAGGAGACAATGTAAATACAGTGGCTGCCTTTAGGAAATTTGAGAAAGCACTGGAAAGCCAGGAAGGACCACTAGCTCTGGCTCAAAGTTTGTCCATCTCCCCCAGTCCCCACCTATCTGTTGTAGCTATACAAAGCCCCTACTCCCCAACAAAACTTAGACTTCTACCACTCTTCAGACTTACGGAAATTTTTATCATCTTCTGTTTATACATTTCTTCTCAAGCTTTGGTTATGTTCTTACTCAACCAAGATCTTGAGTGCGCATTGTACACAAGGCAAGGTATGTGTGAGGGAAATAAGTAGAGCCCCTTTCCTTCTGCAGCCGCCACCCCGCCCCCCAACCAATCTCAGGGATCGTGTCTAGTGTGGAGGAGATGCAGGCCCCTGGGCTGAAGCCCCTGAACCCCTCTGGGCAGGAGGTGAACAGCATAAGTATGAGATCTGCAGAGTGCAGAGCACAGAATAGGTCACTGACTCTAGGACACACTTTTGTACCTTTACATTTTAACATGGCACATCTCATAGTCAGTGGCGTCATATAATTGGTAGTGAATTATTTCTGATGTTATATAGAATAATGGAGCATTTCACAGTCATGATGTCATAGTTCCAATGAAATCCAGTATAATCTACTTTAATTATAACGGTGAAATAAATTTTTAAAAATGTAAGTGTTAACTTACATGTTGAAAAAACTTGGAAAGAAATTTGCTAAGATATTAATAGCTTTGTATCAGGGTGGTGGGATAATGGGTGACTTTTTTCTTCTTTATTTTTTCTCTTTCTAAAAACTTTTTTTGAAGGAAATTTTGGAATTAGACCAATTCAAATGCAAATACTAGTCAACTCTGAACTCGGTGACTGGACAAATTGTCTAGGCTCAGTTTGTAGTGGGAGAAACGTCATCTACCTTGTTTAAGGGTTGTTACGAAAATTTGGTAAGAACCACCCACCTAGTGCAGAGTAGGAGCTTATTTAATTTAATTCTCTTCCTTGTACTTGCTTCCTTTTCTTTATTAGACTCTTTGAGAACTGGGATCTTGTTTGTATGTTGCCCCAGGACATCCATAATACTTGGTGCAAAGTACACATTTGATAACTTATTTCCCAAATAAATAATGGTCACTTTCTCATTCAACAAATGAATAATGAAACAGGAGGACAGAGAAAATGGGATCTGCCTTATCATTTGGGCAAAATACTCTTTTTTTCTACCTTTTTTCCTTTTTAGTTAAATAATGAATATGTTGTCAAGTTGAAGTTGTTGAGACTTTTTTTAAACTTTTAACTTTTTTTAATAGGTAAAAATTCTCAAGGCAAGCAAGAAACTGCTAACATCAGCCTTAAGTTAGATTCAGGATAGTTAGGCAAATTAGGAAATTATGACTTTCTCCGGGAAGATGGGCAAGTAGTTCTGTGATGAACTTGTAAAGAGAATGTTCACTGGGTAAGGGGTAGGGAAAGATGCAGCCTTACTCTCTTTACAAGCGTTTTTCTGAAATGTTTCTGTGGAACTTTCTAGACACAAGCATTTCTTTAGAAAAAGGACAAGGTTCACTATTTTTCAAGTGAGTGTTACAGGGCTAGGGGTTAGGGAGATCTTGTTAACGAATTATGCTAACTGGCTGTGTCTTGTTTTCCTTTTGTTGGATAGGTTTGCTGCATGGAGTTCCACAGCATCCCAGTGTCCAGAAAGTCCATTCCCTATAAAACTTGAATTTTAAATCCTAAACAGTGTTAGGGTTTATAATGTGATAGCTGCAGTGAGTGTTTGTTCTCTGTTTCAAAACATCCATGGTTTAATAAGCAGCCTCAGCCCATCTCCTCTGTCCTCCCTGCAGCAGGTAGAGGTCAGGGAGAAATGTCATCACTGTATTTTTAGAGATGGGAACTGAGAAATGTAAGAATATGAAATGTATAGATAGTGCTACCTGTTTGAAGTACACAGGCACCTTTAACTAGTGGTCCACATTCCCAAGCCACATTTTTAATGTATTTCTAAGTTGAAGGCACGCTGCAATAAATATGTACTTCTGTATTTCCATAGGGAAGGGTGGATGCCTCTCGGTAGATGGTGATCCATTACATAGAGCCATAGAAGGTTAGAATGCAGAGAGGCTTTGGTCTTGCTGATGAGAGACAAAATGAAGTCCACTGAGTTTTTGAGTCACATGATACTGAGCTTAGACATCCTGTGCTATAGGTATATTTTCATTACGTTTTGTTAAAAAAAAATACTTGAAAGTATTACAGCATTTTTTCCAAGTTTTCTCACCTCCATTTTATTGATTCTGCATCTGCTTCTTCCATTTATATCACCTTCATTAGTAAAATGGATAAGATGTCCTTTCTTTTTAATGTTTGAATATATTTATGTGTCTCTATTTGGATGCTATCTCTAAGGCAACTTCTTAGTTCATTTTAGTCCTTTATTTTAAATGTAAGACATAAGGGTACTCTTTCCAATCATGTAAGCTTGTTCCTTGGTCTTTTCTTTGCTAAAACAATTCTCTTGCCTAGGCAAGCTTCAGAATTTTGCCTGGATTAGTCACCCGAGAGTTGACATTTGTACATTTTGTTATGGTACCAGTTAATTTCTTTTTAAATGCCCTGTTCACTCCAGGTTGTTCAGATGCCGTGAAATTCCTAGAACAGCATTTTCACTCTCTTCCTGCTTTGGGGCCCATCAAGGGGAGGCCAAATGCCGTTCCACAAATGTTGATTGGTCACCTTCTATATGCCAGGCAAACATGAAAATCATTTAATCAGTGCACCACAGTACATGCAACACTAGAAGGCGTAACGGGCCCCTGGTGTATTCAGAGGAAGGTGGCAGAGAAAGGTATGTAGAGGTGACTAGAGTTTTGAAGTAGTGCACCGGGCAGGGGAAAAGCAGTCCAGGCAGGGGCAGAGCAGAGGCATGGGTAACAGCACAGATGAGTGAGTGCATGCAAAGAGGAGAACCCAGGGGAGGTTGAAGACTTTCACTGGAGAGAGAGGATGATGGAACCAGCAAGGCAAGCTCACAAAGGGATTCTGTGCCAGGCACAGTGCGATGCTATCCACAGAGGTCAGCCTGGTATTTTATGAAAGTCAAAGAGAGCCCTGTAGAGAGAATGGAAGGATAACAGCAGAAAAATTAAGCTCTGTTACCATTATATTGGGCTGTATGTGTAAACACCCAAACAAATGAATTAAAGAGTTCCATTCACTCAGATGCAACTAGTAAATCAGAGGATGATATCAGAATAATATGGAATTGTGTTTATAAACACAAAGGTATTTTTTTGGCAAGGAGACCTGGAATAGCAAGAGAAGTAGAAAATTTAAAAATCTTCAGCTTAGCTGCTACAGAGGCAGGAGCCCTTCAGCTCTGTTTTAATAAGATGTGAAATAGGCACAAACTAGAGAGCTCCCTCTGGAAAGAGATGCACACCCAGCCTTGCATGGTCCTCAGCTCACGGCAGCTCACACTCCCTCCCTCCTTTGAGCTGGGCTGTCTTACACCAGTTGTCTCAGTACCTTCAAGCCAACATTTCCAATCTATTGTTTTGTGCATTTTTAATGATCACCCAAGACCTACAGCTGCACTGAACTGGCTGCCCTAGCTGCCAAAATTCCCTCTTGAATATTTTGTTGCTGTTGTAGTTAAAAAGTTGCATAGATTTTTGAGTGGTCTCTTTCAATCCTAATTTCCCAAAGACCATGTTACTGTAAAAATTTGTGCAAAGCATAAGACTTTCCAGAATTTTTTTACTGTGTTGTAGCAGCAGCACCTATGTACAGGTTTACTCTTCTTGCATGACAAGTCTAACGGAACCAGAGCAACCCCACTGAGTTAACAGTGTCTAGGCCTCCTGCCATCTTCTGTCTTGTTGTTTAATGGGG